CACGGGGCACGGGCTGGAGGGCTCCCACCGCAATTGCCGCTGCTTTTCACCGATCTCAGTGCCTTTGGCTGATCTAGCTTGTGTCTCCACAACCGAGCACGTGGTCTGGTTTAACCATGTCATCGAGATCTTGCACATCCGTTGTGACCCACCGTTGGGTATATCCACAACACGTCTGCCGCATGTCAATTTGGGTGCCGTGACACAACTGCCCATAGTACACCACCGACACATTTTATGGCCCAACATCCACTGTCGCCGCTCCGAATCTTCTTTAATCCGGAATCTTTAGGTCTTCTTGCCTACACTTCGGCTTGACCCCATGACGGCCGAGTTCGACGGACTTCACTTGGAAGTATTTCGACCCCCCAGCTGGTCTCGCAGCATTCGGGCGTAGAGCGGAAAATCGTAACGACCGATCGACGACGGACGCCGCACACCGCGTGCAAAGAGCTCAGCGACGACCCGAATTGCTGAATAGCTGAGAAACTCGTGGATTGATTTGAACGGGTGCCGGTACCAGCAACCGAACACGTCGAAAAAGGACCGAGGGGACCAGCATACCAACCACCTTGCGGCCGCCGACGCCATTGGTACTATCCGCCTGTATGGCCCAAGGCTTGGACATAATCTTCGCAGAGTTGGGGATCTCGCAATACCTGGATATCTTTGTCGAACAAGGCTTCGATACCTGGGCAACAATCCTTGACGTCACAGAGTCGGATCTGTGAGTGCATCAATTCGGTCGGGTGGATGAGTTTGCTGACCTGTCGGCTCCTAGTGATGTATTGGGAGTGAAGCTCGGTCACCGAAGGGTAAACGCACCTCGACGGCGTTATGTGACGTTCCCGATGGCTGATTCTTGTGCATAAGAAACTCCAAAGGCGTATCGCGAATTCGAGAGGCCTTGCACCTGAAGCCTCGCTCGTATCCCCAGTTCGAGCCAGCAGCGAGGACACGAAGCCCGAGAACCCGAACCCCGAACCAGCCAGGCAAGAAACGAAGGATACGACTGTCGTCACCAAGCGTAAATATCGGCGGCACCCGAAAGTTCGTTGACATTCCTAATCCTCAATCGTCGTTTGCTGACCATGGTGGTAGGCGGACGACAACGCTCCGGGAAGGCCGCCTTCTGCCTATGTACTGTTCTCCAACAGTAAGTCGATGACGACGACGAGTGTCGCTCTCGAGTTGACGAACGATAGAAATGCGTGATGATCTGAAGGGTCGAAACCTGACGTTCACAAAAATCGCCAAGTTGGTAGGCGAGAAGTGGCAAAGCCTGTCGCATATAGAAAAAGAGCCTGTCGAGACGCAGGCGCTGAACGCAAAGGAGAAGTATAACCAAGACTTGGCCGAATATAAAAAGACGAACGAGTTCAAGAAGTACTTACATTACCTGCATGACTTCAAGCAGAAGCAACTTCACCGAACTCAAGGTACGTCCTCCTGATGTAGCTGTTTTATGTTTTGCCGAAGGGGAGACTGACCACCATCTGTGAAGCTGTCAAAAATGGCACGAAGCACAAGGGCAGCAGTGCCAGTGCAACCCCTGGAGGCAGTGGCGCTGGCCGCGACAGTGACAGCGTCGTCCGTGGCGATGCTCCTTTGGCTCGGAAGCAGAGGGTTGGCTCGGTGACGTCGATGCCGGATTATCCATTCGCGGCTGCTACGTCCTTCTCGCACCAACATTCGATCGAAGAGCCGGTACACTCACCCGCCAGCACAGCCTTTGAATTGGAGAGGTCGCCTATAATGTTGTCGGGTAGTCCTCATGGCTCGCAATGGCGGACACGAAGCCTGACGTGGTCTGACGCGCAAGCCAGTCCAGAGAACGGGGTGCCGCCACACCTGCCTTCACTGCCGGATGTGTTCAATGATGGTCGTATGGCTGGCGTAGCAAGGACGTCGGACAACCCTGCGTTTGGCGGATACATGCCGAGCCAGACCTCAATGGCACGCCATTCCCAAACGATGCCGCTGCTGAAGCACAAAATGTCGTCAAACTCGGGGTTCTCCTACAATAGGACCCCGAGTGACGCCTCGCTGCCGATCCACGCGCTGCTGTCGTCAAGCAGGTCGGGATCATCCCCCCCGTTCGAATCATACTCGATGCCGTTTTACGGGCAACAGACGACATCCGATCAAACGCTGCCGTTTCCTGCCACAACCCCGATCTCTGGTGCCACGGGTGTTGTGTCTGGTAGGCCGACAGCGTACAGTTGGCCCGAGCCGTGGACCAATGTCATCTCAGAACGTCGACCACCTCCTCCATTGACCAAAAATTCATCCTCAGGCTCGTCGAGGACTACTGATGTGTCGACGACGACATCCATCAGCGTTCATGATAGTGCTGGTACTTCGGCGAAGGCAGATGCCAACCTGGACGGAATGAATGCACTCCTCAGAGCAGGAGAAATTGTGGGCCGTCGTGAAGGTTAAGTATGCCCCGTCGTGTAAAGGGTGGAAGAAAGAATGGGGATGGTTTTGCGTGGGAGGTTAATACCAGCTGCTGCGGTGGCTGATGTTGATGATTTTGTCTCGCACTTTGGCTTTGGTTGGGTGAAAGGCTACAGTTGAGCCTACCATCGTCATACGAAATCTTCCGAGCAACGCAGCACACTTGGGAGCCTATTGAACGTTTCTCCCATGTAGTATGAGTTGGGTTTTGGGTGCAGGCGGAGGAAAAGATCATCTTGCTACACTTCCGTCATACTGGCCGAAAAGGACACCACCATGTCTCGGTCCAGTTAGAACCACCAAACCGGTGCTGTGATATTGTCGAACTAGCACCGGACCCGTCGGCGAGCAAATTTAGTTGAGTGCATCGACTAAATTGCCTAGTTGAGGAGTTTCGGCGCCGACCTTCCTAACATACACCACGCCGTCGTTGGGAAGGTCGTGCATAGCCAGTCCTACTGAACATCTAGGAGGGCGGGAGCCAGGCCGCATAGGTCACGGATGGACGGCTTGTGTTCCAGGAGGAAGACGGCCACTGGGGTCACACGTGGTGAGAAGCGTGCCTTAGGCAGAAGCTTGGATGGCATTGCGCTTCTCCTTAGTTTGCGGGTTATGCGGGTGAACGCAGCCGGAGGACCTCCGAGGTGAGATTCCGCCTTGGATCTGCCAGGCCATGGGTGATGGTCCCGAACCCTTGGAAGAAAGGGTATATCAAACTTGAGAAAGGAGGCGAGTTGTCTGACCAGCCGAGGCGGTGACCCAGTTGCACTCGGCAACTGCGTGCACCTGCCTCATTGACCTGGGCTCAGACTGCGGCAACGATGGTTGCTTTCGGTATGCCCCTGTCGGGGTCGCTGCAGGTCTGGGAAGCAAAAGCATGCTCGGGGATGCTCCCAACCCACAGGACCAATTGCTGAAACTCTGGCGCGGATCGTCCTGCACCTCGCCCTGGTCGTCCACGAATACCCGCGGAGTGCCGTTCAAGTCCTGGACCCCTTCTACACCGTGCCTTTAAGTAGGGCCACGGTCAAAGGCGGCTGCGCAGCCGGTCGTGGTCCGACGCATGATTGGCCTCGATTGTCCTCGTTATCAAGGGAATAGGCCTCGTCATTGGGCAGACAACGCCACCAAGGGGCCTTGGCCCCCAACGGCCCCTGCCGCGCTCCTTGCTGATACTGGCTTCTGGACAGGCCGTTTCCTACCGTACAGTTTCCCGTGAGCAGGAGACCTTGGTCACTGTTTCCTACTATGTGGCTTGCTGATTTTGGTTTCCAGCTATACAACCCCCCGACAGGAAGTTTCTGCCATGCTTCCGATAGCTGATTGTTGCCGCAGGGCCCGCGAGGCAACAGTACACCTTTGTATGGACGTATTTAAGGCCCTCTGGGCTTCTAGATGTGACGGACAATGCACCAGCCAGCCGCGATGCGCTGCAGTGGCGATGTGAACCGTGACGTCTTGAGTGTTGGGACAGTCGCTAAGAGGTGGCTTCTTAGAAGGGGCTGAACGTTGATCCAGAGAGTTGTGCTCCGTCTCGTGTAACGTTGTCGAATCGGAGTGATATGGGCTTCGGCATCCGCCACTGACGTCGCTACCGTCCGAGACGTCCCTACTATTGCTTGGGCGCTCACCTTTTGTACTCTGTTGAGCGGTCGGATCAATGTCTCACCACAGGCATGCATCCAGACGTCCGACGCCCAGTCCACTACCAGTGCCACCGTCGATGTGAAGAGTTGCCTCGCGGTCGATGGCGTTAGGCCCCGCAGCCGTCCCAGTACCATCGCGGCCTGAAGGCCTTTTGTTGCCGCCCTGGCGATATGCTGCCGATACCTCAGTTGCTGGTCCATGATGACACCTATGGTTGTTTTTCTGTGCTGTTGGCTGGACTGTCTGTTCTTTTATCGTGAACGGGGTGTTATCGAAGCATTCCGTCATCCGCGAGAAGTGGATGACGGCGGTTTTCTCTGCTCTTGATTGGCCCGGTTCAGGGAATGGCGTTCTTCCGCTTCCGCGGCCCGACCCCGTCCGTTGCTGGCGTCCCCTATTCCTTAGATCCCGCCTGCCACACCCCGCTAATTCCCCTCCACAACGTGTCTCACCAAGTCGGTGCATTACTTTTCTGATATCCTCTATCATGGCAGAGTCTCAGATTGGAAACACCCCAGAGGTCCAGGTCGATCTACATGATGCCGGTTCTGCACTCGACGATGACTTTCCACCGCGAGCGATTCTCTAAGGTCCAGCATTGTCCAGTACAAATGGCGCCACGGCCGTCGCTACCACGCCTACCGGGAGGGGCAGTACAACTTTCCCAACGACGACGAGGAGCAGGATTGCCTGGACATGTGTCACCATGTCTTCTACCGCCTCACCAATGACAGGCTGTTCATGGCGCCCATCGACCCCAGTGGAAAACGCATCCTCGATATTGGGACCGGAACCGGGATCTGGCCGATCCAGCTGGGGGACGAGTACCCTGGTGCCGAATTGATTGTTGGCAACGACTCAGTCCCATACAACCAGAGTGGGCCCCGCCCAACGTCAAGTTCCTCGTGGACGACGTCGAGCTGGACTGGGCGGAGCCCGAGCCGTACGACCATATCCACTGCAAATATATGGCCGGGTCCATCAAGGACTGGCCACGACTTGTGCAGCAGATCTACGATAATTTGAAGCCTGGTGGTTGGGTCGAGTTCCAAGAAGCTGAGAACACCTTGCTCTCCGAGGACGGCTCCCTGAAACCCTACAATGCGATGGTGGTCATGATGGAGGGCCTCAAGGACGCATGCAACAAGATCGGCCGCACTATGGATCCTGCCCCTTCTTTCAGGGGGTGGGTCGAGGGGGCCAGTTTCGAGAACGTCAACTCGCAGATCTTTAAGCTTCCCGTAGGTAGCTGGGCGAAGGATCCGATGCTGAAAGAGTGCGGCACGCTGATGCGAATCAACTTTCTTGATGGAGTCGAAGGCTTTACCGCCGCTCTATTTAGGGACGTCTTACTGTGGAGCCAGGAAGAGGTGTCTGTTCTCAACGCCCAAGTGTGGACCGCAGTGAGGGATAGGGATATTCACCCTCTGTTCAATGTTCATGTTGTCACCGGGCAGAAGCCGTCCTAAGGAGCGCCGGACGTCAGGCAGCGACGGACGAGCTTGTAGGTACTGGAAAGGCGTCCTTGACCATGTCGTTCCTTAGTCAGACCTCTGCAAAGCAATACCTTCCGTGTGATTCGAAGTGTTCTCCGGAGATTGACCGCTTGTGTCGCGCCCGTATCTCACGACGCGTCTGCGATGGCCGAAGGGGTCAGCTTCGTGGCCGGGCCTTTCCAAGCTGTTTATGGCTGGGATCCATTCTCATAGCTACCTGCTATTCGGTTTGTGGTAGGCCGGTTCGTGCCACGCTTCCCAGTCCTCCTTTGCCTGGAAACTCTGTTAGGAAGACTATGGGCATGACAGGACTAGAAAACGGCCATGGCAGGACCGTGGGCAAAGCAAGACCGTAGAGCAACATGTCTGGCTTTGGACATGTCGGGCTTCATCTGCGGTCCTTGGCTTTCCCTGCCTTGCCCGCGGTCGTGTTGTTCTGGAGGCCAATAAATGGAGAGCGATTGGCTGAGGAATCTGGCAGCGGGTCAGTTTCGGCAACACGCAATCACATGACAGCGTGTGCTTGAAAGTAGAGCGCAATGGTGCTCTGGTAGAGGAGCTCTGAGAGTGAGATCCACACTGTGGCTGTGCTTTATGGGCTCTGGGTGGCGGGTGCCGACCGTTCATTCGTGACAGGGCCTAAATCTTGTCCTTCTGGCTCCTCGAGGGTGTCTTATGCTGCGACCAGTTCATGGAGAGACTGAAGGACACCATCGGCTGTCACATGGTTCAAGGTTGGTCTTTGAAACTTTGCACCATCTGCAACCATCAGGAACACACTCTACAATAATTTAATACTTGATCTGGGACTTTGAGAGCACAGCCATGCGATCTCTCGACCAGCCTCCCACGGCCGAGTTTTGGGCACAAGGTTGCGTACATTATGCACGCTCCCGCACCCCCTTCAGCACATCTTTATATGGGCGTCATAGTTTTAGTTACATTATTTGGTTTAAATTGTTTTGACAGAACGCAGCCTCAGTATAGGGTCAATGATGACCATGCATTGGACTCCTCGGATCCTTGCGTCATGTCTCGTACTCTTTCGCCCACCGCATTCTCATGTTGTTAACCTCCACACCGAAGCCAAGGCCGCCAGCGAAAACGCTGTCCGAGCCTCGAACACCCTCCGAGAAGGACTAAACAACGCAAACAGTTCTATACTGCAGAATGCCACCGATATCAAGAAGGCCGCCGCCGCGAAGATAACCAACGCCGTCGCCTAGGTCGCTGCTAGCAAGGCTGGCCAGCTGCAGGAGGCAGCTGCGTGGACGTCTCGTTCCGCAACGCTCGACTGCCGCCAGCGCAGATTCAAGGCAGAAGAAGCTGTGCTTCGGATGAGATGGTGGGTATCATACGGGAGGCCAACCAGGCCCCATGTCGCCGGCGGAGGTACGTGGTAAGATGAGAAACAAGTGATACTCAGACAACGCATGGACGACATATTCCCCTTCCTGCGTACAGTGGCTCCTTTGGCAATGACAATCGAGCAAGACCTTCTCAGACGAATAGAATGGTGATCATTCTGAAGACGAGCTTGCATGGCATTCCTGACTAGTATCGACTGGCCCGTCACCGCAAGAATAGATACAATGTGATATGAGCAATCAATTTAATTAACAAGAACAGAATTTCAGACGACCAAGTGGCAAGGCCACACTGCAGGCTCTCACTTCTTTCCGGAACCCCTCCGCTTACCCCCATTCTGCTCCCTGAAGTGGCGCGTATAATGATCGTCGCGCTCAAAGGTCTGATTACATAGGACGCACTCCATGATCTCCTGGGCCGTGCCATTCTCTGGCTGACCTGCAAATTGGCGATGAGAGCTTCGCACGTGGCGGATCATTTCTCTCTCCGACTTAAACATCTTCGAGCACTTGAGCGCCGCAGCCGCAGCGCATTCGAAAGCAGGCTCGTCGTGCACCTTCTTGATGTGCTTGCTGGGCCGGTATTTAGCCTTCGGCTTCGCGGAGCGTGCGGGGCAAAAACCCACTTGAGCTCCGTTGGACGCGGGAAGGTTTCACCGCAAGGAAGTCCAGACTCGTTCGACCGATCGCACTTGACCAGTGATGAGGTCTTTCTCGAGGTTCTAGAGGCCCTAGCAAGCTTGAGCTTCTTCGAGGAAGACGCTGCCGTCTGGCGATAAGGACCTGTGGTTCCCATGATTCCCAAGCCCTCGTCATTATCTGACGAAGGAAGGGACTCGGAGCGGGTGCTTTCTGAGGGCCCCGCAATATGTAATGGAATCAATTTGGCGGCGTCCCGTGCCACTTCACCCGGCTGCCGGTTGAGGGATCTCTCCCCTATATCCTGGAGCACAAGGTCACCACCCTATAGATGGGACTGGACGTGGATAGCTTGGGAGGCCTCGGCGCTGAACTCATTACCCGACAAGCTAGCCTGAGCCCCCGGTCTTTCGCCAGGGTACCAAAGCGCAGGCGGGCAGGAGTTGACTCCTTCAAAAGGGCTGTCGGCTTCTGGTGACCCCCAGGAGTAGCTTGATGTCTGGACTGGAGGCCAAGACGGACTTGCTGGGTTGTCCTCCCCGTAATAAGATGCTAAGGTAGGATCGTTCGATCCTGGTTTGAAGGCATTGCCCAAGTCTCGTTCCTTGCCACGACGGACCATGTCTGCCGTGCACTCAAGTCTGATAGAAAATAGTGTACGGACGGTTTCGAGCTACTGAATCTGGGGCAGCATGACCCGAGTCTTGAGTCGACAGGTCTTTCCTGCTCTTCTTATGAAGGTTGTAGGTGAGTAGATTGGTAGGGAGACAGTGTGACGAGCTGGAAGCTGGGAGCAGTTGGCCTGCAAAAGGTAGGACCCCCAGCGCCAGAGGCCAACTAACTGATCGGTCTTTGACTTAACTTTCGCGTGGACAGATGCAGAGACTCGACGTTGGTATTCCTCCCAACTCTCTTTATAAAAGTGCATGCATCTGTTGACGACATGCTGATTGAACTCACCGATATAAGTATACTCCTCGAACGTGGCTTCGACTCTTTGGGCCCGCCTTATGGCCCTGGACAAGGACCGGATGACGTTGACGGCGATCGAGGTCCTTATTTTGGACCGAAAACGTGGGGGCGGCTGCAGCTGCAGGATGAGGCCGAGCTGCCAGGGTGGGTCACTTGCTAATCGAAACAATGGCTTGAAAAGGTTATGTACGGTGTATGCAACTATCCTTCCAGCCCTACGTCTCAGGTAATCTCGAACTTGAGCCTCTTGAACAACGTTCTGCACTTCGGTCGCCCATGTCTTTAGCTTCTCGACGATTGCGTCGATCTCCTGACACATCCTCGTCTTGGCGTCCTCCATTCTGACAGACGTTAGCTAGGACACTATTAGATGAGAGTTAGTCTAAGCGTGGCCAGGTGCCCTGAGATCATCCTAACATGAAACAGCCGACCCGTCCCCATGTAGCTGAACATCATGGCACGTTTGCTGTTCTGCCAGTGCGCCGGCCACGACGACTTGCTTGGCGTCCGATCCATTGGATGCTCCGTGGATAAAAAAACAGCCGAGTCGAGTCTCTTTCTCTGTGTTGTGGCGTCACTCTCCTGTGTGGCTCTTCGCAAAGCCCTCCGTGGCATTTCCTCGTTTGCGGCGCCTTGAACGTCGGCACGCGTAAGCACATACCCATGATGGATAAGATCTGACGGCCCATCTTCCTCCTCCGCAAGTTGCTTGAGGCTGGTGATGGGAAAACTTCTTCTGTATTGCGGTCTGACTCTGATACGTTGCCCTCCTTGTTCGTTGGCAGAATAGAAAGATTATTGCTCCTCAATACCCACTCCATACGTCCCCAGCTGTCTCCCACCCCTCTCCTGTGGTTTCAAAAAGTCTCCTCTGCGACAGTCATCGCCTCAACCCGCTCCTGTACCGCTTTGTTGTAGTCCAGATAAGTCATCGTCACGGTCTATTCCCTTAACCCTGTTGGAGAGATGCAGCGCCTTGTCACCTGCTTGTAGTCAAGACACCACTTGTTAACATACTCCCTAATCGCCCCTCCTGCCGCAGCCCTCGAGTTTTCCGTCCGTAGTCTTACAGCCTGATATCATTTCCTGGCCTATTCCGCTCGCGTGGATTGTTTTACTCGTCTGACTCGCATTGTTCCTACTGGCATTATCGTCTACGTTGCTGCCACTTGGTACGGGAGCCGAAGGGCGAGAAATGTTCTCGACGAGAGGATGTTTGTCTCCGCTTTGAATGTTCCCGATGTTGGAGGCTTTATGCGCCGCCGTAAGCGCAAAGTCGCCTGAATCAAAATACATTCTCTATAGACGATACGTGATCAGCCAGATTTAGCAACGGGTTAAGAATGCTAGATACCTCTAACTGATGGTGAAGTAGGTCAGTTCTGGTCGGTAGTTTCCCGTACATGTGCTGGAACCGATCGTCCTTCTCTGTGGGGGCCTTACGGAGAGGCATGTGTAAGTCGGCATTAAACAAACAATAACGAAGGCAGGTACAATCAGACCTTAGCATCTGTCTCTTTCGCGTCAGAGTCCATCTTGGAATCACATCTGTAGCAAGTTCCAGAAATGATGGGTTGAGCTCTCAAGAACACCTGATTGATATCGAGGGGGATTGACGTCACGATGACGGTCGGCTTTTTCATGATCTGAGCATGGCACGAAGACGTCATATGCCGTGTTCCTCAGACCGGTGTTAAGTACAACTGAGCACAGGTTCGCCACTGGGTCTCGGTGCGATGTCCCCTTCAGCCTCGGCATTCTCGCTGAAGGTAGGGCTCGAGATACCCAATCGCAGTCGCCACCACGTGCTCTTGGCACATCTTCATATCCTAGGACGCGCAGGGTTGACTATTCATGGCAGGCAGAAATTGCACAATGCGAACTCCACGTTACCGCCTGCCGAGTATCCTTGGAAATAGCGAATCCAGCGATCAGGAAGCAGGCAGTGCCTGTCTCATCTGAACTGCATCTCCACGACGCAACTCCCGCGGACAGGCTTACGCAGGAGCACCTCCAGGACGACGGCCTTGTCTATCTATACCTTCCTCCGACGGAAGTATCTTTATTGGCTGGAAGCCCTTAGTCTCTTGCGCGAAATGTCGCAGGCAGTGCTAGCAATACAGAAGCTTGAGACTTTGGTGGTAAGCTTGGATCACATTACTTGACTACATGGTAAATTTGTTGACTTGACTTGCCCAGGGGCCGGCAGGGACACGAAAGCTACCAAAGATACTCCGAGACGCTTGTCGGTTCGTCCTATCACACAAAGCAGTAATGGAGAGTGCTACGCTGCAGCTTTACGCGTCAGCTCTCATTTTCAGTCCTGCCTGCAGCCTAGTGAGAAGCTTCTTCAAAAAGAAGAGCCAGGCTGGATCATATCAGCGCCAGCAATAGAAGTGGTTTGGAACGCGTGCGGGCAGACGCTCGAGGGCCATGGCAGCTTTATCATGTTGGTCGCGTGTACGGTGGACGGCAGCGGCTCGCGTCGGCGTCACACGACAAGTCGGTCAAGATCTGGGACGCGGCCACCTGGTGTGCTTGCCATGGATCTTCCCTGTAGTACTACTTCCCCACTAGCATACTCCTCGATAAGAGGCTACGTTCTCGGGCTACGGTATAGGATTTCGTGGTACGTGGATTGTAAAAGACAACCAGCGAATAGTTTTGCTTACCCCGCCTGTCAAGCTTTTCCTTGCCCAGGTACACGGTGCTCAGTGGCGTTGGGGGAATTACTGTACGTAGTAGTGGGGGTTTTTACTGCGGTACAACTTTATGCCGGCGCATGATGACACACCAACCCACGGGAGCTGAAACATTCAATTTTATCTACTGCTCTCGAGAAATTATCCCGATCCGCCACCAATCTCTTGATCCCGCTTGCATTTCCTTAGCATATATCGAATGAACCAAGCCTATTACGGTGTGCCCATGACCAGTCAATAGTCTGCGTTTGATATTGAGGCTCTGATTAGCCTAACTCGCCGGAGGAGCCATGGGTGAGTCATAAATTGGATGTTCGTTCTGTTCGAGGGCATAGACCATGATTCCATGCAACCTGAACGCTGAAGGCTTACGGATGATGAAGTGAACGGGATTCAACCCAACCGCTCGAACCTCTGCTTTATCTGCTGACCGGAACATGTTGCTATCTATCACACAGATGTACTGCATTGCCGACATGGTACGAGCCAAGCTGTCCTTAGAGGCAGCCCGACCCGACCCAAACCTCCGACTCATCATCGGCCACCTCAACGTGCTTGAGCCCCTGATGCTCGAACTTTCCGACGCTGAAGTCAAGCACCAGAAGTGCTTTGATCGTTATGCAAACGGCGTCACGAAGCCCACCGAATCTCACACCTTACAGGTCGATATTGTCGCAGAGGAGCTCGCGGGGAAGGATTCGTTCGCTGATGGCGACCAGTTCAACACCCCCGTGATCTCAAAACTGCAACAACCCGATAGCATACACGATCTAACGAGGGATGCTGCACGGCTCGAGCTTATCCAGACATCACTGTCTAATTCTCAGCCATTGCTAGCCATCGCCACGCGAATGTTCGCTGCAGAGGGCATAAAGCGACAGGTTCGACCACCCAACAACAAGGCCTGGTATCGAGGAGTCCAACGGGCCTCGTATCCGGTTTAATATTATAACGTTACTAGGTGAGGCTCTCGAAAGAAAACTCCAAACCGTACTCAGCTTCCACCGCCACTACCAAACCTCCGCCATCCACGGCAATCACGTAGCATGCTTCCTCCTCTCCTGCCGGAGCAACTAAGCAAGCTGAAACGTCTTCTCTGCCATCTTCGATGTTAGGCCTATCTTCGGCTTTCGCGCCTTCCACCTTATCATCGATGACGCTTACACCATCTTCCGTCCTCAAGAAGCCGCCGCCGCCGCCGCAAGGGTCCGCGCCTTGATGGAGTACAAGTACAACACAGACGCCAATCGAACCCAAAACCTGCAAGGCTCGCAGTAGCGTCTCGGACGCAATGGGCAAAATCAACCACACGTCTGAAATATGTGTTGTGGAAGCTAGAGAGCCCGACGTACGTAGTGCTGAGCTCATTCCTGGCACGAAGGCCACCTACTTGTGATGCTCAGACGAGTTCTTGACGCCGCTCGTGTTGCGGAGCCATGGGCTTTGTTGGAGAGGGGATGCCATTGATGGGGGCGGCGGTATGGACCTGGCAACGACGATGCAAACGTGGACCCAGTGGACCCTATTTTCAGGAGCCTTGGTAAGCGCTGAGACTTAGAGCAGCTTGATCCTGTCGAAGATGTACTTGTCGGAGGCAATCACTGGATTGAGAGTCAATGTGTCACTGAAGGAGTGCTTTCAGCTTGCCTTGGACAGAGCAGACGAGCTGCCGCGTGATCAGTAATGTGGAGAGAAGGACAAGTTCTAAAGTGCTCACTAATATCACAGAGGAGAAGTGTCCGGGGGCTCTTTCGGAAGAGGAGGCAGAAGGCAATAGACCCTTTGGACCTCACATTACGTATTGCGAACTGAAAAAATGCTTCCATCCACTGAGCGCATCACCGTAAAAGTATAGCTAGTCTGGCCATCAAGCCATTATATTGCCTTAAAAAGACCGTGGACTTTTGTAGTTGGGCATTCTTCGACTCCACGGACCGAATTCCTGTTCAAAGTCCCTCGCCGGCCCCATTCTCAACGAACGAATTGCCTGTCCCTGTCTAAGTTGAACAGGGTCTCTCTTGGGCACATTATCTTCGACCGACTTTCCCCACATTGAATTTGACTTTCCCATGTTCTTCATACACCAGACTCATATTTCTGGCTGCGAGTAACTTATACTCTGGAAGCGGCTTCACGCTGCGCTTGATACAAGTCCACCCCGTGGTCTCCGTTGTCTCCGTTGGCGACCATCCTTGCATCGATGGCGGCTTTAAGGGTGGGACCTTGTTCTCACGGATCCGCACAATCAGGCGCAAGTACTCATTTCTGATGCCATTGACGCCATCGTCTGGGTCTTGGGATGTGCACCCGGGGTGCGGTTCAGTTACCCAAGTAGACGAGAGAAAGTCCTAGAAAAGTTGTCGACGATCGGGCCGCAGCCCCAGCCGGGTAAGCTGTTGTAACCCCGTCTTTGTTTTCCTATGAACGTGGCGAGCACCGCCTCATCGAAGGTTAACGTTCCCAAGACGACCTTGGCGGTAGAGTTTGGTGAGAAGATGATTTCAGAGCTCGGAGTTCAGAAACAGAGATAAACGAGAGGGAGGGCGAGGGAGGCGCGACGGGACTACCACCACCCACACAAAGGTGTTATAGCTATTATACCCTTTGTCACCGCGGGTGTTGGGGGCATCTTCTTGTCCTCCAATGTTCTGGTGGATCCTAAGGAACCAACATTGCTGAAGCTCTTTTACTGGGCTGTTCTCGGTTTTGTGCCACATGGTTGAGGGAAACGCGAGCCGCCTCTCATCAATACTAAGAGCCGGGAAGGCATAATCCGCGCCTGGACGCACAATCATTAGCTTGGACCCATGGTGCTTGCCGCGGAGGGTATCCTGTCTGTGGTGTGTTGAATCTGCTCCAGCGCATAGTTGGCTTGAGGAGAGTATCCCTGCTGCTGCGGAACGGGCGAGTAGGCCGGCTGCGGACTGTACGCCGGCACAGCGTTCGGGGTGGCATATGCCTGGACGGGAACGTATGGCTGCTTGAGCTCTTTCGGGTTGTTGGTGCTGGCCTGGTGAGCCCGGCAGCTCTTGACGTAGGTGAGGATGATGTAAGTGAAGGTCGCGATGAACAGCAGCCTAGTTGTGGTTCTGCCGAGGCCTCCCACAGATTGCGAACAAGAGGAGGGCTGAGAACAAGGCCAAAGACAGAGGAACCATGTCACTAGGAAGTGACGCAAAATAGAGTCCGCGGGACGGCGTCAGGGCCTGTATTGTAAGGCAGCACGTATGGGCCAGATTGTGAGATTAAGACTTCCTTTGTGCCGAAGGGTCTTGGTAGGGTCCCCATTTCTGGACCTTGGAGGGTCCAGAATGCCCTGTCAACCGGCACCACCCCAGAAGATTGTAGGCGCCATTTCAAGGACTGACCAGACATTCCTGACGTCATCACCAAACAAAACAAACAACACATCTTCGACCTTGGACCTTGAGCCTTGAGCTTTGATCCTCCTTCTCTACCTCAGCCAACAATCGTTGCCATCATCAAGACTACATGCCCGCCATGGGTGATCTCGCCGAGTACCTCACGTCAAACGACCCCTCCTTCCGAAAAGCCCGTCTTCCAGCCCTCTACTCCGACTTTCGCTCCCAGCGCACCCCCAACCCAGACGGCTACACCGCCAACCTCTCGGCCTGGCGCGCCGCCCTCGCCCGCCTCGCCTGGGACGCCCAGCTCCCCGACCCCGCCACCTCTACCACCCCGCCGCGCCTCCTCCTAACCGTCGACGACTCGCTCCCCGCCCATCTCCAGAGCCGCCAGTTCGGCCGCCCGCTGGCCCTCGGCACCGTGGTCCGCGAGGCCCTCGAAAACGGCGACCTCGTGCCCGTGCCCGACTTTCTCGCGCGAAAAGAGACCATCTACGCCAAGACGGCCGGCTGGGGCGCCGTGCCCTGGAGCGTCGCCTCCTGGGCCGCACGGCAGCTGGGGTTCGGCAGCGGCGGCGGCACGTCGACGGCCGAGGACAAGATGCCCAAGGGCACGTACGTCGTGCTGCCGAACCTCGAAAAGGCGGGGGGTCTCGTGGCCGAACAGGCGGCCGCGCGGGCGAGCGACACGCGCTTCGAGCGGACGTTTACGCGGCGCCACTTCGAGCGGGCGTGCGTAGCCGACCTGGCCGTCGCGGGGCAGAAGGACAGGGCGCTCGCGGGGCGCGACGTCGACGTGCTGCTGCGCTTCCTCGCCCGGGACAAGGGCCTCGTGGCGAGCGACGGCCAGACGGTGCGCATCCGCGTCGAGGGCGAGGACGCCGCCGTCACGGAGGAGGACGCCGCCGTCGCGCAGCTCAAGGAGCTCGTCGAGGACCTCAAGCACCAGACGACGCTGCTGGCGGCGCGCGTCGACACGCTGGCGGCCGACGCCAAGGCGGCTGTCGGCAAGAGGAACAACGCCGCCGCCATGCGGCTGCTGCGCGAGAAGAAGACGGCCGAGGCGACGCTGGGCAAGCGCGGCGCGGCGCTGCTGCAGATGGAGGAGATTGCCGCGAGGATACAGCAGGCGCGGGACCAGGTCCAGTTCGTCAAGGTCATGGAGGGCAGCGCCGGCGTGCTGAAGCAGCTGAATGCCGAGGTTGGCGGC